ATAGTGGAGGAAATATGTAGTCTGTTGGTGAACACCGTATCCACAACATTTAGAAATAGAGAGTCTGGGAGGAGTTGTATACTAATATTGTCCTTTTTGATGTTATCATCTGGAAGGTGATCCATTCTACAGGAAAGTAAATCTGGAATAGTAAGTTCTTTTCCTGGTACATGTTGGATTTGGAGTTCAAATTGAGAAAGGAAGGTTTGCCATCTGGCTTGATGGCGGTTAAGGTCTTGTATGTCTCTGAAATAGGTAAGGTTCTTGTGGTCAGTTTGTACGAGAACAGGGAAAGGGGATCTGAGAAGGTAGTGTCTCCAAGCTTTCAAAGCTCGGACAATTGCAAGTAATTTGCAGTCATATATCTGGTAGTTTCATTCAGTGGGGTTAAAGGATTGAGATAAAAAGGAACAAGGGAGCCAGTCTCTGTTGTTGTTCTTCTGAAGGAGTACTGCGCTGGTAGGATATAGGGAGGCATCAGTGGCAATGGCAAAAGGAGTGTCTTTGTCAGGTATTTGGAGAATAGGGGATGAGGTAAAGATATGTTTCAGCTTATTAAAAGCTTCCTCATGTTCAGGGGTCCAAGAGAATTCTTCGTCTTTCTTGGTTAGGTCGATTAAGGGTCTGGCGATGGAAGAATAGTCAGCAATAAACCATCGGTAAAAATTAGTGAATCCAAGGAATGATCAGACTTCCTTCACTTTCATGGGAGTCGTCCATTCAGATATACCCTTTAGTTTAGCAGGGTCCATTGTGATAGAACCAGGTTTGATGATCATACTGAGGTATTCAATGTTGGTTACATTGAAAGTGCATTTTTCAGGTTTGAGATGGAGGAGGTTGTTGTGGAGTCGTTGAAGTACTTTGTGAGTACAGATATGGTGAGTTTTGTTGTCTCTAGAAAAGATGAGTATATTGTCCATATATGATGATCCATCCTTCCTGAATCATGTCTCCAAACAGGTTGTTCATCATAGACTGGAAGGTAGTGGGCAAGTTACACATTCTGAAGAACATGACTGTGGGTTCAAAAAGTCCTCTGGAAGTAGTGAAGGCTGCCTTCCATTGATCAGTTTTCCTCATACATACATTATTATAGCCCCATCTGATGTCCATCTTGGTAAATATCTTAGCGTCCTTTAGCTTATCTATAAGATCTGAGATTAGTGGTAAAGGGTAGTTATTTTTCACTGTGTGTTCGTTCAGGTAGTGATAATCTTGGCAGGGTTGAAGGGAACTGTCTTTCTTTCTGACGAAAAAGAAGGGTGAAGATTGGGGGGATTTGGAAGGAACGATTATTCCTTTAGCTAGATGTTTGTCAATAAAGTCATTCATAGCCTTATCTTCCTTGGCGTTAAGTGGATAGATCTTGCATTTCCACAGTTCGAATGATTCTTTGAGGTTGATCTTGTGGTCGTATTTGCATTCTGGGGGAAGGGTACCATTAGCTACATCACCAAATACATCCTTGTATTGTCAGAACTCTTCAGGTATGAGTTCTTCAAAGGTTTTCTTTGGTTTGGTGGTGTCCTGGGCGAGTGTCTGTGAGATGTTGTCAGTTTTCTGGATATAGGTGTAAAAATCATCATCATCGTTGATTGGATCTAGAAGGTGTGGGAGAGTTTCATTAGCAGGGTCTCATACTTCTTCTAATTCTTCTAGAGCGTCGTAAAAGACGTCTTCTTCTTCAATTTCTTCAATGGTTGCTTTTTTCAGGGTATGCTCCCTTAAGTGGACTTCTTGGTTAGTCCAGTCAATATCTGGGTTTTCCTTCTTTAGCCAAGTCATTCCCAAGATAGCATCTTCTCCTCCTAGAGAGGTTACAAAGAAACACTTCTGCATAGGGATATCTTTGATTAAAAATGAAAGTTCACAATACCGTGTGATTCTTCCAGCTTTGTTTAACATGCTGTCTATGTTACGCACAGGTATCAGGGTTTCTAGCTTGTGCATGCGAATGTTCTCTTTGAGTATGAACTTCTCATCAATAAACTCACCTTCTGTGCTGCAATCAATTAGAGCAGCAGCTACGGTGGTTTTGGGGGACTTGTTCAATCTGATGGTTAAAGGCAAACGAATAGAATTAGTATCACCAACAGAATGTACAACTAGTCTGATTCTGGGAGTGTCTAACACTGTGGTAGGCTCCCCTAAGCAAAATCCTCCTCATTGCTGCTTTCATCTTTCTTAACCAGTTTCTTACTGGCTTTCTTCATTTGGTGCGCTTTAAATGCCTTCCATTCTTGGAATTCTTTGTAATCATCATCAGATGACTCCTTGATTACCTTTCTGGTATTGGTCATAACCGTGGGATGGTTAGGGCAATCTGCAGCTAAGCCTTTCTTGCCACATTTGAAGCAAAGGCTGCCCTTGTGCCTACACTCCCATTCTTGAGGAGTAAGATAGGTCTTTCTAGTCTTCTTCTCACCATCTTCCTCATCTACTTCTACTTTATCTATATCCATGGCATAAGGGTCATGTGCCTTGGTATAGGAGGGAAGTGCTGTTAAGGTCCTTCAGACCTCGATGTCTAAGGCTTTCTCTAGCCAGGATTCGATGGTGGTCAGGGTGGTATCAAAGGTGTAGATAGTGGAGACAATCTCACGCTTCAAGCCATTTCTAAAGAACATGATCTTGGTGTTCTCTTCGTTAATGCTGGTGTCAGTGAGGATGGTGCGGAATAAAGACACGTAAGCAGCTATGCTGCTGGTCTGTCTGAGAGAGGAAATGCAATGAATCACAGTTTGTTCAACATTCTTAGGGAAGAAGGTAGATTTAAATTGCTTAGCAAAATCTTCCCAGGTTCTGTAAGTTTTGGCTGCTACTGTGGCCTTTAGCTGGCCTTCGGCCCATTTGGTGGCTTCACCTTTAGTCATAAGGCTTAGTGCAAAGATAACTTTCTTTTTATCATTATCATAAACTTCATCATTCATATCTAGGTATGCCTCAACTTGGAGGGTCCATCCCTGAGCAAGGTGGGTGTTGCTGTTGAAGGGTGAGGGAGTCTTGCCAATTTCTTTGGGCATGGTAGTGGTGGCTGATCATTCATAGGTTTGGGTAAAGAAGTTCCAAACTTTATTCTTTGGGGCTAAACTGGCATAGTATGCTGCCCACTGGTCTAGGGAATATCTGGTGCCTTTGGCATCTGCACAGAAGAACTCTTGTTCTACTTCGTCCCAGGTGAAACTGGGAGGGGTCAGTGCAATGGTTGAAATGGTGTTCTGTTCTGGGCACGAGTTCTAGGGAACTGTGCAGTAGTGAAGTAACTTGACCTTTTGTTACACTCGGCGTTCATAAGAACAACTAGACAAAAACAAATGATCTAAAGTGTGAACCTATTCACGAGTTGTGCAAGTTAAGCAGTATATTGCAGGCCTGTCATATCCACATATCTGGATCTCAGATCCAACCCTTATCTCATCTCAGATCCACATCTTATCTCTGATCCTATCCACATCTTATCTCCCTCCAACATCTCGTCATTCAATCTGTCCACTCATCCGGTCTGGTCCACAACTCATCTGAATCCACAACCAGTGCTCGTCTCCTTTTGGTTATCTGTATATCCGTCCTGCTCCCTGATCCATTACCTATGTTTCATTTCCGTTTCATGATTTGTGATCCATTTCTACTTACCAATAGACTACCCATATGCTTTGTACATAGCCTTGGACTCTGCTGATTGATCATTCTGTTAGATACCTATAGTATATAACCTCCTGTAACTCTCTGTAGCACCTCAGTTCGAATATCATTTTAGTTCTACTCATTCCCATCCTCTGGACTTGAGCATCTCTACTCTTGTCACTGTTACAATCACATCTACCCCTATCTCATTTTCCTTCTCTTCCTGTGTATTATGTCATGACTGCGCATTGTGTGCCATCACTAGACCCGCCTCTTGCTATATCTGTATTACACCACGATCACTGCTGCCGTCGTTAGGTGACTCACCTATCTTTATCTCTGACTTGTCTTGATGACGTATACGTGATGACTCATCCGTCCTTATCTCTGACTCATCTCGATGACATATACGCGATGACTCATCCATCTTTATCTCTGACTCGTCTCAATGACGTATACGTACCTGCCCTAAAGTAGCTACGTCTATATAAGCTCAGTCATGTACTTAGCAGATCTTTACTTTAATCTACTAGGTTCTCACCTGAAACATCCTTCGCTTAGGACCCCCAATCCTAAGTCATCTGATACCGATATTCAAGCTAGAGACACTCTCTCTAACTTGTCTTAAGAAGCCTTACATTTGTGAGGTCTTGATCCAACTTCAGACATTGCTCTTATCGAGTATCTGTCGTTGTGCCTATCCTAGTTTGCCGTAACAGTCACCCTCCAAGACTTAGAATTGATTCCTATAGTCTACCCATATCCGCCTCTGTCTCCAACAGTCTATTACCATTAGTTTCTAGTCTGGACTCATCCGGATTAGCCCTACAATACCTATCCCACATCCAGAAGTCATCCAGATCTGTTATGATACTCGTCCAACCTTCCGGACGCGTTAGTCTTGCCTTCCTGAAACAAGGGGCAATACTCGGGTAAGGGGCACAGTGCACGAGCTGAGGCCAAAGCCCTTTGGATCCAGTTATCCCTTGAGTACAACCTTAACAAGGCCCTGGTCTGCATAGGTCAAGTTAAAGAAATACAAGCATAAGAGATAGAGTATATATAAAGGTATTAAAGCGGAGCTTTAATAAATGAGTCGGAATTTGAAAGTAAATAATGAATTAGGAAAAGAGTAAAGAGAATCATATGATAGAATGTGATGGAATGTCTGAGAATGATTAGTAAATGGTGAATAAGTGAAGAGAAAAAGAGGAACCATAACAGACTCAGTGCTCAGAGAGAGTAGGAAATCATGCTAATAACTCCCAGTCTCAGACTGGTACTAGTAGGTGGTGAAAACTATGATGATTACATAAGCACCAAAAGTGCAAACATAACACTAAGTAATATCTGCCTATACAAGCCCACAGTAAATGAAATCCCTACAGTGTGCTGATGCACCTAAGCCTAATTGTCCTCGTCCTTGTCCTGTGAAAAAGGCTGTGAAAGACCCAGAGACCACTGACTTGACTACAGCTGCCAATAAGGCTGTTGGCGCTATAGGCAATGGTAGCAGGGCTGATAAATCAGCAGCTGGTGCCAATATTGAGCATCCTGGGAGTGAAGAAGATGAGAAGTTGGAGGTGCAGATGCCAGGAGCAAGCAAAAAGAAGGGAAAGAGGATGGTGATACCAGTGAAAACCCCTGTGAGAGATGTGATTGATGTGGCAGGTGCCCTTATTGCCAATAAATCAACACAGGCATGTGATGATGATAAGTCATCTGACTCAGATGTGTAAGGCATTTAATCATTTTAACCATGAAGCTCCATCTGACTGAAACATCACATTTTTTTCAATCTTATGGTCTATAATGATGATGCTAGCTCTCCACTGAGTTCTAAAAAATTCAGTCATAATCGTCATATCCTGAATTAGAGGACACAAATTTGCATTGGAAAGCCATCCTCCAAGTCCAACTTGAAGCACTGTGATAGAGCTTCCGGAGTGCCTTCTACTATCTCTAGTGCCACTCCCTCCTCTAAGCTTACTAGGGGGAGCACTATGAGTAGTGGTGGTGCCTTACTCATGCCTATTGATACTCCCAATGCTTGGGCCAATGATGTGTTGGATCTTTTTACAACTCTGTTTGCAGACAGCAAATTAACTGATTCAGTTAAGCACTCTCAAGCACTCACTTGTATGTCAAAATCAAAGGCTTCTCAGGTGAGTTCAACCATCTAGTTTATTTCTATGTGCTAACCACATTTCCAGGGTGTCAAAATTTCTCAGATGGTCTCAGAGAATTCTCAACTTCAAACAAAGTTAGCTCATCGCAGCGCCAATCTGGCACCCAAGCAGCTTGACCCGATTGAGCCTGATGTCACTGCTGTTACAAACTCAGGTGGAGTGTCATTCCAATAAAGGAATCAAGGATCAAGGACTAAGCCTTATTGAGTCAATGCCTCCCTCAGGAGTGATCGTCTAGACTCCTGCAGGATCTAGAGTTCAAGTATGAAAGAGAACTGAGTAGATTCAAGTTAGAGAAAATACAAGCAATAACTAGGGTTTATATACGTAAAGAAATTGTGCACAGACCAAGCTGGGCAAAGGGTAGCAAGTACTAAGAAAGGCAGGTTCATGGGAAAACAGAATATGAGTCAGAGATAAGAGAGACCATGAGGAAACAGCACAGTGGAAAGGAAGCATTAGAAGTATAGCCATAAGGCATCTGCAGTGATGATGGGAAAAAGAGTGGGGCACTGTAACAACTGTGGATGATAGTGCCTTCAATCTTGTGGACAATGATCTTGAAGTGAATGCAAAGACTGCTCCTCCAGTAACTTCCCTTGTTGACTATGATTTTAATACTGAGAGGGAATCTGATCTTGAGCCCCCTCCTTCTGCACAGGTTCCAAAAGGATACTATGATGCTGACCTCTGGCCTCCACATCTCACTCCATCCTATGGTGCATGTCACTGAGGCACCACCAATTGTGTGCAGAGGCAAAATTGGCTGGAAGTTTGTAACCCTAACCATAACCTCTAGCCTATTATGGTAACCCCTATGGTGTGCTGCAACATCAATGCAGAGGATGGAGAATCTGTTTCAATATTGTTGTTGTAGGCTTCAATCTGAGTACAGAATATAATTTGTGTATGACATGGAGTGACTGGCCCTTTCAAAATCCATGTTTCACTGGTATAATGACCAAAAGAAAAACAATATCAAAGCTACTCAGGCTTGGGCAGCTTGTTGGCCCACTAAACCCAATTCTCCATCTCATTCACAAGCAGAACATAGCCCCATAATTGATGCTGAACATGAAGGCTCAAGTGCACATGATGTGGGGTCACATAGTGTAGCACATGTCCCAATAGAAATTGATTTGGACAAGGACTCAGGGTCTGACTGTGGATACCTGGGTGGTGTCAATGCAGATTACTCAGGCAGTGATTTGGAATATGAACCAGATACATCAGAGAGTGAATGGTCTGATGATGAAAGCCTTTGTGAATTTGGGGGTGATGATTTGAAAGAAAACTTGGCTGCTCTCAGAGCCAAGGCTGAAAGTCTCCATGATCACCCAATGGCTGTTCCCATGTTTGAGAAGAAGACAGCAGTAGAATGGGAGAAGGTAGAATGGAACAGGGCACTTGCATATAATGGCCACTCAGGCTGAACAAAGAGGAGGCATGATAAGGCTGCAAGAGAGCTTGCAGAGTACTGTGAAAAGAGGAAAATTTTGTGAGTTTTGAAGCTTGAACATTGAATAATATCTGAGTCACTCACTATTCATCAGAGATGATCCACAAGTTACACTGATGTGCAAAATGTTTGCACACCCAAGATGTCATGCACCCTCCCCATCTCTTCAGCCCCAGAATTTGAACTTAGTATCTGACTTCAAGTTACTACCTGCTGCGAGTCATGGATTGTGTTACCTCTCTGATGAGTCCAATGATGGGACAGAATCTGATGGTGATGATAGTGATGGTGATAGTAGTGGTCTTGCTGCATGCCAAAATGATCAGCCAGCTGTTCCACCATTGAAATGGTGCAAGCTTGATGTGCCCCACCATGAGCAGAGAAGGCTGGCAAAGGAAACTCAACTTGAGGAGATGAAGAAGGCATTGGCTTCAATAGAAAAGCTTTTGAAGGTGAAAAAAGCATTGTTTGTTGGAGGTCCAAATGGGTTGCAGGCAAAACATGCACGCTCAATCCAGAGTTACCTCACAATGGTCATCAAGAAGAAATGTCTCTCCATTGATGTGTCACAGAGGGCAGCAGAAAGTCATGGATTTGCTGCAAACTGGGGTGGCCACCAAGTGTGCAGCTGGACCAGGCTGTGGGTGGCAGATCACAGACTCCCTGAATCTTTACAAGGTCAACATGCAAAGGTGTACTCCCTTCTTGGTGATCCCACCATTGCCACTGAGCTGCGCACATATGCCCACTCAAAAAAATGGGTCATAAATCCAGAAAAGCTCATTCAACTCTCACAAGATAGGCTTATCCCTGCTGAGGCCACAAAATATGCACAAAAACTTGTTGAGGAGGAGATGCCCCATGGTCTGAAAAAGTATATGGAGCTTGAAATATTCCCCATATCCATCTGAAGGTTGGCCGAGGCATTTCACTGAGCACAGCTTGTCAATGGCTTTGGTGCAAAGGTTTTTGATTCCTCAAACACCAGAAGGGTCTTTATTTTGATGGGCACAACTGTCCAGATGTTATTCACTATTGCCAGCAACAGTTCTTGCCATTTATGAAGGCCTGTGAATACAGATTGGTTCAATTTACTGTTGGTGATGTTGATACTGAAGTGCCAGCCAATCCTTCAAATTATGTTGAATGTCATTTGGTTCTCTGCACACACGATAAAATGACAGCACAAGGCAATGATGCAGTTGGCCAGTATTGGGTTTTTGATGATGAATTCCATCTGTGGAAAAAGTGAGCAGGTCAAGGGCTTCACCAAAGTGATGTTATCTCCTCCATGGTTGGTCACTTGGTTGAAGCAGGAGAAACAATGGAATATGGCAAGAACCATGAAGGCTACTGGTGTGGTGAGAATTTCTGCACTCAGGTTGGTCATAATTGCTGTGCCTGTATGAAAATATCTCATTTGTTCACTCTCAGCTTACTGAGAAAATCATCCCCACATTTGAGCATGCTTGCTGTCCCAGATATCAAGCACTATTTCTCATTGACAACTCTCAAGGACATTCTGCATATGCTGAGGATGCTCTTCTTGTCAGCTGCATGAATATTCATCCAGGGTGGAAACAGGCCAACATGTGGAATGGGTAGTTTATCCAAGATGGCATTTGAGTTGAGCAGGAAATGTCATTCCCACTTGACCATCTGGAACATCCTGGTGAACCAAAGGGTGTCAAGGCTGTTCTGACTGAACATGGCTTGTACGAGTACTGGCATGGCAAATGCAAATCAAAGTGCAAGGCAGATGCTACTCATTGCTGCAACAAACACATATTGGAATTGCAGCCTGATTTTCAGGAGCAACATTCACTTGTTCAGGAGATCATCAAGAATGCTGATTATCTTTGCATATTCTTACCAAAGTTCCATTGCAAGCTGAACTTTATTGAGTTTTTCTGGGGAAAGGTCAAAAGGTACCTTCATGAGCACTGTGACTGCACATTCAATAGGTTGAAGGCCAATATGCCATGAGCATTGGCATCTGTTTCATTGCAGACCACCTGGTTATGGGAGCATCAGACTCACAGGTGGTTGGATGCCTATCAGTCAGGGCTCGGGACAAAAGATGCACAGCTGAAGGTCCAGCAATTCAGTTTGACCAAGTACAAGTCCCACTGACAGGTTCCGGAGACTGCAGCACAACTTTTTGACTGACTGTAGGTAGGGTAGATAGCAAGTGGCCAATCTGACTGCCAATGAAAATTTTATCTCTGTCAAATTTGATCAGATTGAAAATCGCTCTTACAGTTTTGTTTGTCTCATCAAAAGGAACATTTTTGTAAGAGGAATTAAAATTCTGATGTTTTTTCAAGACAGCAGGACATTAGCACACAATTGGTGGCACCTAAGTGATGTGCACCATACACATCCTGCCCTACCAGTGTCAAGCGCAAACTCATAGATGCTGAGGATGACATTACTGATGATGACTTGATTGAGGACACTCTAATTGAGGACAACCTCATGATTGAGGATGGCCTTGTCGACAAAGACTTGCCCTCCTCCAAAATCAAGTTTGTGGCTCACATCAAGCCTGTGGTCAAGACTGAGTACAAACCAGTGTCCTTGCAGTTGACTTCTACAGTAGTGTGTTTTGGGTTCAAATATTTGAATTCTACTGACCACAAAATTTATAGACCAGCATTGGCGTCAAATATAATGCCCCCCCCTGCAGCAAAGCAGCTGAAGTCTTCTCACAGTGTGTCCAGCATCCCAAGTACCATTGTCCTGCATGATTTGGGAATCATGCATGGACATGACTACTAGGTAGCCCCCTAAAAGACAAAGTCTGTTAGCTTAGGCATCAGACTAGTCAACCCATACCTTGGTTTCAAACCTTGGTCAAATAGTTCAGTTTCCCCTGTGTGATTCATGAATTTATTATATTTTGAAGAAGTCATTTGTGAGATGGGAATCACATAATGACCTAGTTGATATTGTGAAGCAATAAGAAGGTTAAGGTATTGCCTTGCCTTTGGCTTATTCACTTTGGCTAGAGAAAACCATAGAGAAAAGTTCAAAGCCTAACAAAAACCTATCTAAAAAGCCTGTGTTTCGTGTCTTGTTATTGTATTATTATTTCTGAGTTGTTTTCTCTAGTATTTCCTTGATTTATTTTTTCTATTGGGATGCTCTGACCCATCAGATACTTCACAAAATTGTACCTACAGGGTATGATGTCATATGGCTCCACAGATACTCCTGCAAGTATTGTGTTGAAAGTTATGATGTCATGATGATGTCATTCATTCTGGAATGTTCTGCTCCACTTCTGATGTCATTGCTCCGCTTTTTTACTTACATAATATTCCCACACAAAATGTTCATAAGGAGGGCCCATTCTCCCCCCAAAAAATAGGATCTCCCATTTGCAATCATTTGAATCTCAGTTTGAGCTACTCACTGTGAAGATTGTTGCTTACAAAGAAAGCCCATTTGAAGTATCAAGTGCAGGGAAAGACATTCCCTTGAGATTACATAAGTTTCTTATGATAGAAACTCACTTTATTTGAGACCAGCTTCTCACCTAATTTTCTAATATTGACCAACATGAGCTTTGGTCAATCTGTTCATTTGTGAGACCAGTTTCTCACCACTTTGTGCCTATTGACCAACCAGTCTTTGGTCAACATATACATATTTGAGACCATTGTCTCTACAGAGAGTTATCTTAATGAGGAACCATGTTCCAGTGTCTAGATGGTTTATCCTAGACAAGTTTATAAGTTGGGATAAAATATAAAAGTTCCAGCTAAGTTAATCACATAGATTGGTTTAGTGAGTCTCCCAAGAACTCACATTATCTACCACAAAAGAAGAAAAGTTGTAGACCGTGTTAATCAAGGACTGGCAAGAAGTCTTATCCTAGTGTAATTGTGGCATCATTACATTTTACACACATTTATATAAGACCCTTGGTTATTAAAACACTGTGAAACTTCAGGCTGGTCCCATGAATCCCTTAGAGGTGACAGTGGAGATCCTGCCCTGTTCTTCATATAGGATCAAGCATCTTCCTGGAGGACCTTGGGCAGTGGCTAGGTGGAGTGCAGTTTTCATTCCCACTCTCATTTCCACTATCAGAGACCAGGAAGAAGTCTGGGGTTGTATCAAGTCAGAAGCAATGTTCCATGCTACTATACAGGACACCTGGGATGTCATCTATGAAGATATCCCCCATACCATTACAAATGATGAACCTGTTATGGCTATAGTGAGTTATTTTTGATGCTATTCATGTCTGACATTTCTTTTTCCTAGGCTCTCCAACAGCTATCAGAGTGGCGCAATTGCATTGGCACCATAGCTGTCACAGTATACACAAACTTCATGTCATTGCAAGGCAATATCAAGACTGATGAAGATTGCAAAGGATTTTCCAAGAGCTTACTTGTCAAGCTAGTATTCCTATATGGGAGCATCACAGAGGAAGGGAAATTGGAGAAACCTTTCAAGTCTGAGCTTATCATTCAGGTACTCACACAGCATGCATACACCACTTGGGGCACTATTGGCGACCATCACACAACAATGCATGCAAAAGGCACTCTCAGTCTTTGCACTGCAGTGGCATGTATTTTCCCCCCCTCTCTTCACAGCACAACTAATTATTTCCTGTGTTTCAGGTGGAACATGCCATCTGCCTTATCACTTCCGAGACACTTGTCAGCAAATTAGAGGTGAACAGTAAAGGCAAGGCCATCAAGGACCCTCACTCTCTCAATAAGTCCTCAGGCAAGATCAGTTAGGCATTAGCGTGGGTATGGGTAGTTGGTGGGTTGGGTATGGGTTATGGTCTCATGACCCACCACTCTACCCATACCCACACCAGATATCCACAGCATGGGTCATGGGTCAAGCCTCAAATGTCAAACTTTGGCAGAATTATGTAAGAACTATACATAGTTTTCTTACAAAACATAAACCTTAATCTCAAGTAATCAACCACTACCTCAAATAGCCAAATCCTTCCCAATGTTTGGTAAATGTTAGCCAAAACCCACAGAGAAGGCCAAGGAATTCTTTCAGTTAGTCAGGAAGGCTGTCAAACGCAAGTGAAGTCATGGTGACAAGCTCACCTCCAACAAGGCCAAACGAGCACCTGTTGCAGCTGCAAGTGACTCCGAACTTGAAGAAAGCTTAGGGCTATCTATCTCAAAAAAGGCTCCCATTAGAAGCAAGAACTATTCTGTTGTTGTTCAAAGCAAAGATGAGGAGGAACTTAATCACGATGCTGACATCGTCAAGATTTCTGCACCAATGTCCTCCAACACAAGTGCCCAGGCCAATGAGTCTGAAAGTGAGACTGAGTGTCCCAAGGAGGATTCTGAGGCTGAAATGAGTTAGTACCTGTACACAAAATTATTGTTTGATTAATATCATGTTTGCAGAGTGCTTGAGCAAAGAATGGCTCTCATCTATCTGCGGTATAGGACCAGCATTTGAGCCAGTGAATTTTGTTGACCATCTCAAGCAAACACCTGTACATAAATTAAAATTTTGATTTGGCAGTCATGTTTGAATATATGATGACCATGCTAATGCAATGCTACAGAGCAATTGAATGAGTGATGTGTGCACAGTGTGTGGATCAGTAGAATGTCTTGATATCTGTTTTTTTCACCAGTTGAGCCAGCCCTAATCTATAAAGTAGGATGCAATGGGTGGGAATTGTCTTGCCAGCTCACATGGCTTTTGCATAGATATGCTTAGATGTGCTTAGGAACACTTAAGAACACTTAGCTCACTTAAACCTCTTTTTGGGAATCTCACATGGCTTTCTCACATGGCCTGGTCATGGGTTTTTGAGCTCCAACTTGATACTGTTGCCTGTTTGAGTGCAGCACATGTCAATAAATAATTGATGAAAAATTGAATGAGAGAACAGGGAAATGGGGGAATGGGCCAAAGGTGTGAGTGGAGCAAGCACTTTTGGTCTGTTCCCCCATTCCCCTGTTCTCTCATTCAATTTTTCATCAATTATTTATTGTACATGTGTCATATGCCATTCCAGACTCTCAACTCTAAATCCGCTTCTCTAGATATCTGGATCTGAGATCCAGATCTCAAATGGTCTGATCTATCTTTATCTCCCTTCCAGAATGCAAACCCTATATCAGCACCCAACCCCATTTAGACTGCCCCTGTCTCTGGACTGCAGTTAACCATGTTTCCCTTTTGATTATTGATCCATTACATACATTTCATTTCCGGTGTTCATTATTTGTGATCTGTCCTACTTACTAATAGACTCTGCATATGCTTCGTACATAGCCTTTATCTTTGCTGACTGATTCCTATATGATACCTACAGTATATAAACCTCCTGTAACTCTCAGAAATACTCCAGTTTGAATATCATCTTAGTTCCCACTCATTCCCGTGTCCCCTGGACTTGAGATAAGTCTTGTGTCATATTCTGAGTCTTAGGATTGCATCCTAGACTACATTTCTGACTCTACCTTAAGATAGTCCATCCTCTGTTAGTTTCTAGTCTGGACTTCATCTGGATTAGTCTTATCCACTTGCCCAGGTAACATCTGGACGTCCATCGGATTTATCTCACGTTTCAGATCTGGATGTCCATTATCCACCCTAGTCAAATCCCGGAAACTCCGGACAACTGTTCTAGCCCCTGGAAATTAAGGGCACATACTTGGGAAAGGGGCACAGTGTATGAGCTGAGGCCAAGCCCTTGTGATCCGACCCCCTTGAGCATGCGACCTTAACAACATGCTAGGATGCAGCCAAGGCCAGGAAGCCAAAAAGGAGTGTGAAGTGCTCCGTTTGCTTCCTGTGCCGAAGGCACAATGGGTGTGAAGCTAGTATAGATTTATAGAGTGCGAGAGTACCATCTAAGCGATTATTGTACCATAACGATCCTCAGGCTAGTTACTACTCCTCTTCATCCTCGTCACTGGCATTCTTGTGCTCATCCTCATCGACATCAAGCTCATCACCTGCAGTGCCCTCCACAACTACCGGTTTAGGTAATGGCACTCCCAACTTACCTTGTGTTGGCTTTTTCCATGCAAGCCGACCATCTTCACGCGTGGGTTCACCTTTTCTCTGCTTGGTATGGTACTCATTGATGGCTTGAGTGATGGCAATCTCTTACTCTTGCTTAGCAAGTTGTTTTTTCCTTGTGACTGACTTTGGATGTCCAACCATGACTGAGATGCGCAGGATATGAGCCAAGGGTGACTGCAGGACAGTGTTTTTTGAGTCTGGAAATGAAAGTCAAAATTGGGTTAGTTTCACTATCTTGCCCCAATAAACACTTTGATAACATATTTTGAGACCCTCGTCTGGAATCCCAGTGGCAGCACATCATTGTGTGTTGGACTTATTTTATTGTACCAAAACTGTACTATGGATATAAATCTTTCATTTGGCAGGATTTCTGACATTGATAATTGAACAATTCCTTCTTGCTGCATTGATTGGTGCTGAGAGAGGGCATGTTTCTGACCTGTAGCATGCATGCATTTTTTTTTTCATTTCTACTTGACAGTATACAAGATTAATGTATTTCCGATACATCTGCACTATTCAATGGGTCAATAAACAAATATTGAGTGTGTGGTAGCTGTTTGGCTCAAATGATGGTGCTGGCTCAAATGCCAGTCCTATACTGTATGCATTCTTTGAGCCATTCCCTACCATCAGACACAAGAATGAACACTGTTACCATGAGTTCAAATGTCTTGTGAAAGGATGTGGCAAAAGAATCTGGCGCTACCTAGACAAAAAGGACACCAAGTCAACCAGCAATATGTGCAAACATGCACGTACCTGCTGGGGAGATGAGACAGTCAAGGCTGCAGATGATGCCAAGAGTTCTGATGTTGCTCACGAGGCAATTGTCAACAGAATCCTAAAAAACAGGTCAATAACAGCTTTGTTTGAGCACAAAGGAAAAGGCAAAATTACATACTCCCACTGGCAGCATACAAAGACTGAAACAAAGTAAGTACTCACTATATAAACTCCTGGATGTGAGGTTGAGCAGCAATACAGGGCAGAGATAGTTCAGTGGGTGTGTGAGAGCGCACATCCATTTGATATTGTTAAGGACCAGGGCTTCCAATCCTTGATGAAGACTGGCTGCCCTGAGTACTATTTACCTTCCCTGTCAACCATTTCACAGGATGTCAAGCTAGTATTCACATGAACACATCAATGAATTGCCACGATGTTAAGGGAGCATGATGGGTGACTCAACTTTGCCACTGATGCGTGGAGTTTGCCCAATCACAAGGCTTTTATAGCCCTATCAGTTCATCTTGAACATGATGGAATACCTATTGCGATGATATTAGATGTTGTTGAAGTTGTGGAGGTGAAAATTGGATTGGACTTACTGTAACATGCCACTGATATGTGGCAGTCTCATTCAGGCATGGTCCTCGCAGAGGCATTCACTAATGTTCTGCATGAATTCAGAATTGATGACAAGGTCAGTATAGTGTTTAATGAAATGTGCAGAATACTCACCTACCTGTGCACCAGATGTTAAGCCTTACTGCCGACAATGTGGCTGCAAACGACATGATGACAACATTCCTTTCTGAGCTCCTTCCCTCCTTCGGTGGTGAGCCAACACAAACTCATTGTTTTCTACATATTGTGAATTCAGTTGCAAAGTCAATTCTAAAGGAGTTCAACTCACAACTGAAGCTGAAATGAACAATGACAGACGATGATGATGATGAGTTGGATGGTGAGTTGAGTGAGGAACTGTCATCAACGTGTGAGGATGATGAGGTGCATGGGGATGACAATGAAGGTATAGATGACGATATAGATGGCTGGATCGATGAAATGGAGGAGATGGGTGCGTCTGAGTGCAAAGTCCTAAGGAAAAACTTGCAACTGGTCAAAATCACACTTGTCAAGGTAAGTGCAACTCCCTTTCACTCACCACTACTAATCCCTCCAACAGCTTCATAAACTTTCCTTTAAAATTGTTCATTCAACAACAGTCTTGCTGCCAGCATGGAAGGGGTTGTTAGAAGAGCTACAATGACTGGTTAGGATTATGCCACGTGATGTGGCAATACGGTGGAACTCAACATATGACTTAATCAACTTTGCCATTGAGTATTGGACAGCCATTGAGGAGATGACAGCCAAGCGTGAGCACAACTTAAGGGTGTTTGAGTTGTCAGTAGAGGAGTGGAAGATTGCATCTGACCTGCAGAAGGTTTTGCAGGTAAGTACACTGAGGATTTCACCACATTGACCAGTGCTCATGCAATACTTAATACTCTAGGTTTTCAAGGACGCTATGACCTTCTTCTCACACTCCACACCCAACCTCACTACTGTCATCCCTACTATCAACCATATTGATGAAATGCTCTTGGCCCATGAATCCAGCTCATCTCTGAATAGCACTGTACAATCTGCACTCACTCTTGGCAAAAAAATACTTGACTGCTACTATTCATTGACAGACAAATCTGATGTGTATCGTGTGGCCATGGGTAAGTGCTCTCCCTGACAGGACTACTTACTTTTGACAATAAGTACAGTGTTGCATCCTCATCATAAACTTCAATATTTCAGAATGGCCCTGTGGGATCAAGATTGGATCAAGACTGCAGAACAACTCGTCTGTGATGAGTTTGATCTCAACTATGCTAACTTAGATGTTCCAGATGGAGGCATGGAGATAGACGACACCAAGCATTCAGTTGCCAAGGTATGTAGCAAGAGCAATCTATTTTTTTCCACTCATACCTATTCACAGGATAAACCTTGCAATATATTTGATGAGCTTCCCGCCCTCACTGCACCAAAGAAATTACAACTCCATCATGAACTAGATGCCTACCTCATGGCTGGTCCAGAGCATGTACTGGACATCCTCGCTTGGTGGCATGAGCATCGCAACATGTACCTGTGATTATCACAAATGGCTTGTGATTATCTTACAATACCTGGTGCATGTCCAAAATTGTGTAATATATTAAAATTTTAACATGTCATGTAGCAACATCTGTAGGTGTCGAACAGATATTCAGCTGTGGTCGCCTCTTGCTCTCCCATGTGCGCAGTTATCTCTCTTCTCAATCCATTCATGCATTGCTGTGTCTTGGTTGCTGGAGCCTTATGGGTCTCATCAAAGACAAGGATGTGTTAGCTGTAGCCATGTTAGCAGATGTTGAAGGTGATGAAGATGCTCTGGATGACGATGGGATAACATTTAGCTCTGACCTATACTACATACCATCATGTTATTTGCCTGTGTTATGACTTTGTGAACTGGTGTTTGCAACCTTCCTTTTATGGAATAAGACCTGCTGGAACAAGGTGTCATGTGACTTTTTAGGATTAGTAGTACAACATTCGACTTATGATGATAATGGGATTTCAACACTAAATGATACTAAACCCTTGGGTTACCCACCATGGGTACAAGACCCACCAAACCCATACTACCCACACCACAACCCATGACCCACCTAACCCTTGGGTGGTGGGTATGGGTATGGGTCAGCTTGTGGCAACCCATGGGTTACCCATGCTATTGCCTAAGATCAGTGGCTCTTGAAAAGCATTCTTGGACACCAATTTTGGTATAATGACCAGGTGCTACATAACATCTATCAACTGCCTGCAAGACTTGGTCCTCCAGGATATCTGGGAATGGGCAAAGGAGATTGCCTTGAAGAGGTGCAGTGCACCCTCCACTCCAGATGAAGACTTGGAGGATGAGCACACACTCATAGGCTTCTAGTTGTCAGTACTGTCTTTCTTGTTGCCCACATGCATCTCACTAACTAGTAGTGTCTTCAAGTTTACTGCTAAGTACTACTAGCCTGTGGACTGGGACTAGGGATACCCTCACTGTGGGTTAGCAACCGAAATTGCGCTGGATTGCTACAAAGGAAAATTCCAAGTTTACTACTGTACAGCTGTCAAGGACTCAAACCTTATCTGTAGTCTAAAGACAAACATAGCTAGTCACCCCTACTACCAATCATACACCCAAGTCCAACATGTTTGGATCCACAAGCAAACAGATAACAAAACTGACAGATAAAGCCAAGGTGGCCCTCAAGGGTTCCAGCAGGAAATGGAAGAATGATGTGAGTAGTATGACCAGTACTAGTGAGCCCAAGAAGGCAAAACCCAACCAAATCAGCAGAAGCTCTAAAGATAGAGACACCAAACCACTATCACCATCTCCATCTGCAGAAGATGTCCCTACTAAGCCCACACAATCCTGCAAAAGTGTCGTCCAAATGGAGGAAGAGGAGGCTGCCATCGAGATCAGCAACACTGACCAGAGCAGCAATGATGGTGTTAACAACGCCAACAATGACAATGAAGATGAGCTGTCCAATACTGATAAAGATGAGAGCCCTAAGGATGAGCTAAGTGAGCTAAATCAATTTGAAAATAATTTTGGTGTTAATTATATCAGAGAGGTTAATGAAAGATTGGATCTCACCGGTGTATGCTTTTTTCAATCCCAAGCCACACATTGTCACCATTGAAGGATGGCATGCACATGAGTTTAAGTGCCTCAGGAAAGGCTGCAAGGCAACTGTTCGTCAATACCTCAACAAAAAGGATGTGCAAAGTACCAGGAATATGTGAAAGCATGTGAAGGCATGTTGGGGCGAAGACATTCTTGTGGCTGCTGATAATGCCAAGGATGCAAATGAGGCACACACTAAGATAGTTGGAAGGTTCCTACGAAACGGATCAATTACCGCATCATTTGAGTGGAAGGGGAAAGGCCAAGTGATGTACTCTCATCATCAACATACTTGCACTGAAATGAGGTATAGTGGTCTTGGTGGTCCATGGAGTCTTGTCTGATGTCAATAACACTAGGGCAGAAATAGTCAAATGGGTGGCAGAAAGTCTGTGCCCATTTGAAATTGTGAAAGACCAGGGTTTTCAGAGCCTGATGAAAACTGGAAGACCAGAGTATTACTTACCTTTGCCTAGTACAATCTCCTGAGATGTTTGAGTTGTTTTTGTGCGCACCCATGAACATATCGCTAAGATGACAAAGGTAAGTTCGCAAACATTGAATTAAAGACAGAAAAAAATTAATGATGCACCAGGAATATGCAGGCAAGCTAAACTTCACCATGGACAGCTGGATGGCTAGAAACCACAAGGCGTTCATCACTTTTTTGGTGCACTTAGAGCACAATGGTGTACTGCTAACTTTTCTGTTAGATATAGTTGAGGTGCCAAAGGTTTGAAGTATTTACTGTGCACACAACTGGCTTGCTGATTGAGATGTAGTCTCACACTGGTGAAGAACTCATGAACACATTTCAAAAGGTCCTGGAGGAGTTTGGGATAGCAGAAAAGGTAAGTTTTTAATCAGACGCTGAAAGGAGACTTACTAATTGTCCACAGATGCTCTGTGTTACCTGCGATAATGCCACTAACAACACTGTGATGGTGGAGAATCTTGCAGAGGCTCTTCCCTCCTTCTCTGGGAGGGCAAATCATATGAGGTGTTTCTTGCATACCATTAACCTGGTGGCAAAGTCACTCCTCAAGGAGTTCAATATGATGAAGAGAGAGGCGACTCAGGCGCTTGATAACAATGTTGGCAGCAAGAGTGGAGAAAGCGAGAATGAAATGGAGAACCTGCCTACAGACAGCTATGCTGCTGAGGGTGCAGAGGACGACAGTCTGCTGGGAGACAATGATGAGGGGTGGATTGATGAAGTGGAGTTGCTGTCTGAGTGTGAGCACAAGCAGCTATGGCAACAAATACTTCCAGTAAAATTAGTGTTGGTGAAGGTAAGTAAAAAAAAAACATTGCACACCTTGATAACTAACAGCACCATCTCATGCAGCTGTGCAAGGTTGCATTCAAACTCATACACTCCACCACCATTCTCCTTCCTGCCTGGCACAAGGCACTCCATTTGTTGAAGATGTCCATCATGCTGATTCCTCATGATGTCACTATGAGGTGGAACTCAACATTCAAAATGTTGAATTATGCTGTCAAGCATCAAAAGGCTGTGGATATTGTGACCCAACATCAGAATTTGGGCCTGCATGAGTTTGAGCTGAGTGATGAGGAGTGGGATATTGCAGGTCAGCTGAGAGATGTGCTTAAGGTGAGGCAATGACGCACCACATTGGCACCACATTGTTTATGACTAATCGTTCCTTTGATCTAGATTCTCAAAGATGCGACTCTATTCTTCTCACATTCGATGCTGAATCACACAACAGTAATTCCAGCCATGGACCTCATCCATGACAAGCTAACAAGCTACTCATGCAACCTGAAATATCTACCAGCTATTCAAGCTGCTGTCTATCTAGCAAACAAGACTCTCAACAGGTACTACAAACTAACAGATACCTCCGAAGTCTATCGAATCACAATGGGTGAGTTTCGTTTGACTTACTTCTCAATTTTTCAAATGCTAATTATTTGTATTGTAGTCCTACATCCCCGCCACAAATTATTGTACTTCAAAAATGCCAGTTGGGAAGATGACTGGGTGAATACAGTGGAAACACTTGTATGCAAAGAATACAAGCGCTCATATGAATGCATGACTGTCAAGGACCCAACAACAACTGAAATTCAGTCAAAGGCAAGTTTGTCCACAGTGTGTTTTTTTTTCTTCCTTGATTTCCGGTACTAACATCACCACAGAGCAAGACCAATATCTTCAATCAAATGCCAGCCCTCGCACCACTGAAAATGATGGACCTCCACAGTGAACTGGACTGCTGTGACAATCATACCGGCGCTAGGCGCATATGATCAATAGCACAGTTCTTCTCACCTTCAGAAAAGGAGATAAAGCATGGATCATTAAATCCATATATATCGACCCATCCACTCTTACTCCAGTCTGGTCCTAGGAATCTGCCCTCCCATGTCCTATCCATGTCCACCTATCTCCGCTGGTGCGTTATTTTTCCCAAATGTCATTGCTAAATGAGCTGCAGGTCTTATTACATGACTACTCATGTTCCACAGCGCATGATGTTTTATTACCTATAGACTCATCACGTGCTCACTAACTACGCTACAATTCTCACCTATGTATTCTGGACATTCACACACTATAATATAAACAACCGCAGTACATATGAATGAGTAGTTCCCTTTCCCCCGGACTCAGCTCTATAAGAGAGTCATTCTCACATTATTTTTGTAGACTTTGCGCTATCCATCTATTTTGCTCTTTCTTGACAATCCTGTGCAATTCGACTGCTCTGAAGTTCCGTACCACTAGGATCATACCCTTGAAGCTCTTACAAGAATACCCAACCCGCGACCGGTAGTTTAGCACTGTTCTTCACTCGTGCTATATCCCTTGCAACCGGCCGCTCCATAGAGTGCAGCTGATTTTGTGCGCATTACATCTGCCACACTGGCATCTGACATCCAATACATTCACATGTATCTTCTAATGGTTCATCTCGCTCCTGTGATATTAACATCGGTCAATTTTTGCCTGTGCTCACAGTCAATTCTTTGGTATAGGAATTCAGAGGTATACATACAGTCCATGTTTAATTTTCTTAGGCCAATATAGGTTATAACTCCTTTGCTCACTTACTTCCCTCGCACATAATTGAAGGAAGTGCTTCAATAGCAGTCCTCTCGGGCCGATCAATTAAACTTGCACCTCTTAGGATAAGTAGTGCTAGTTGCTAACAGCCTAGTACCTATTTCTTCTTCACACCACTATCTGAGTGCCGATGTCAAGGATGCTCCGGATGTTCTTGCATGGTGGTACAAACACTGTGGATCATACCCACACCTCTCGCAAATGGGACTGGATTATTTAACTATCCCTGGTATGTTTTTATTTTCACTTGTGCTACCTACTATGCTATGTCACTAACAAAGTTGCAGCTACCTCAGTCGATGTTGAACAGCTCTTCAGCCACAGCCATCTTTTGCTCTCGCATGTTTGGTCATGCCTTTCCACATAATCAACATGTGTGCTGCTCTGTCTTGGATTCTGGAGCAAGCTTAACCTCATGAAGAGCGAGGATGTCGTGAATGCGAGTATGTTGCCTGATCTGAAAGCAGAGGAAGAGGTGGGCCTGGAGGATGGGTGGGATCAAATTATCATCAAGTAGCTAGTTATTTTCTGTCGTAGATTACTATGAATTTCGCAGGAGACCCATGGGTATACCCTTGACGGGTGGTACCCAGGGTCTCATTACTCATACCCATCAAAAAACCCATACCTGCAGTGAGGGTCTGGGTATATCTTGGGGTATGGGTGGGGTATGGCCTCTGGTACCCCAGGGTTTACCCATGCAGATCCCTAACTGGGACTGCAACTACTCTTCACTGCTTCACTGCTTCGTACTGCTACTGCTTTGCCGCTTCATTAATTTGCTGCTGCTATTGCTTCTGAAACTCCTCTTTAGTGTCTTTTTTCAACTTTTTCTATACTTAATCTACTTGTCACTTGAAATGCCATGTTTTGCAGTCATTTTTCTCTCAAAAAGTGTGATTAAGTCGCAAACAAGTAGAAAATAAGTAAAATAAGTGTTATTACTTGCTGCTACTTTTGCTAGCACTTGCACTACTTACATTGAAAAAAGGCCAAAATAAGAGTGGAAAAAGGTCCAGTCAAGAGGAGGCATCTGCTTTTTCAACTTAAAATTGCTTGTGGCAAATGGGTGTTGCAGTTCTTGTGCATGGCTTATCTGCACCTTTTTGGGAAGTTAACCAGTGACAAGTTACCAAAAAGGCAGTTCAAGAAATATGTGAATTTACTGATGACTGGTCACACATATCCATGTGCCCTCGTTCAATGGTTTCATTGGATTGTAGAGGAGCGAGACAAGCTCACAGGCATGTGGATGGTGGTGCCATTTCTCAATGAGGATGGCTCTCATGACTTGTCAATTATCCATATTGACAGTATTATCCATGGTGCTCACCTACTCCCAATATTCAGTACTCAGTTTGTGCCTCAGGGCCTTCAATTTCATGATTCTCTAGATGCCTACCAAGGATTCTATGTTAATCATTTTATTGACCATCATGCTTTCGAGTTGGTGTCTTAATGTATTTCTTACTTACAAAGTGCTTTGAATTTAACATTATCTTGAAATCACTTTTCGGCTCTTAAGTTATCTGAGTGTCTTAGTCAACTTGGAGCTAAGACACTCAAGTCGTGTTCCAAGTCAAAACAAGAACTTGGATGTCTTAGTGGACTTGGGCACCAAACCAAGTAGAATAAGTTCTGAATAAGTTAAATTAAGAGGCGTGTAATTTTACTGATGTGAGGAGTTACAAAAGATTCATTGACAATATCGCAGAACCCCAGGAGTGATAGTATCCACCATTTGATCATGAATATTAGATCACGTCTAACGGTAAACATTTTCCGACTCTGGTCTGAAATCTTTAATGCAAAGACAGCCTTGTAAAAATCAATAATTTGTCCCAAATTTGACTGTGTCTCAAGTGTGATGGCCTGTCCACAAAAAATCTGCGGAAGAAACCGATTCCCTGTACACCGAACTCTAACAATCATATTGCACAACTCCTCGTAACGTACAAATTATGACGCACGGTGTGATTCCCGCGTGTTCCTCCGATCTCACTATCATGAACTTAGTAATTAGCCTCTTGTTCAATGAGCCCAAGAGCAGTTGCAGAACGAGGCTTGATAGAACACTTGAAGGGTTTGGGGTGGCTTGGAGTGTGTTAATCCAGACAAGCGCCGAACGTGACAATATATGCGACATACCTGATTGTACCTGGTGAGGGTTCAACATTGGGGGTGATCTCAATACCATTCTCGACAACCTTTGAAATATCAAACACGGCCAATGACATCACAGTGGATATCCAAATGGAGGCTTCAGCAAGGTGGATACCTGTACACCAAAAGCAAGTAAATATCAGAATGCTGTGGGTTAACTGATGCGAGTTGAATACACCTGGGCAAATACTGCGGAGCAGAAAATTAGCATTCCGATCAGATTCAGAACCAACTTGTGCTTACCGTCTACCAAAGCCGAAGCACATTGTGCGAGGCTCTGTCTCAGGGTCCTTTCCATCCTTAGCCAAGAAGCGTTCAGGATTGAATTGCGAGGGGTTAGCATATGTCCGTGAATCGTTGAGCATGAACCTGTTGCAATTCAGAGCATTACATTTTGTTCATCAGTCGAAGGGTAGTACTAACCAAATGTTAGGCATTACAAAGGAGCCTTTTGGAATATAGTACCCGTCGTGGATATCATCTTCAGTCACACAGTGGAGGAAACCTGTCATTGAGATACCCGTCGTCAAATAGTAGTAGTGTCATAAACAAGATTCTAATACCTGTAGGAGTGATAACGCTCCAGCGGAGGACTTCTTTGACAAGTGCATCGGTATAGGGGAGGGAGTCTCGGTCGGTGAAGGTGGGAAGACGGTCAGGACCGACAACCGCATCGATTTCAGCCTGAGCTTTCTTCTGCACATCAGGGAAAAGTGTCATGGCTAGAAAAAGCGAATATATTGCAGAAACAGTCTGAGGAAATAAGTTGGTACTCTTAGAATATGTCGATTGAAAGATGCAGGGATGGACTAACCGTGTCGGAACCACCGCTGTATAGGGAAAAAGCAGACCATTTCACAGCGTGGTCCTCTTCCGCAGACATATCACGGCCTTCCAGGAGATTCGAGGTGAAAGACATGGGGGCGGCGCCATCAGCCTGTAAGATTTAAACTTGACACATGATCGCAAAACTGTAAACAAGTCACCATCCGATCCTTCACGGACTTGTGGGGTGCAGACACCATCTCTTCGAGGGTTTCACGCCATTTACGTGATATGCGCTTGAAGCTAGCACCGGGGAACCACGCAGGGACCTTTGCCACTGGAATAGTAAGGTCATTGGGAGCAAACGCAAACGGCGGAATAATGTAGCTTACAGAATGGTAAAATATCGACCATAAAGGCACCGGGAGCCGTGGCCTGCGATACATTGGCTAGAACGCAGTTTGCAAGGTCAACAAAGGGATCATTGTTCTCTTTCACTTCGTAACCATGAGAGATGCGCAAAATAATCGCGCCAGCAGTGCTACAGTAAAAATTCAGGATCGTGTCATTTCGAGGATATACAATACATACTGTCGGACATGTTCCTGCAGTTGGTCGGGTTTCGCAAGCACACGCTTCAGGAATCGACGAGTCTCAACTTCCTCGACCACGTTGTATACGTTCACTGCGGCACGACTACCGATAACGCGATGTAAGTTCTTGCGTTGCTGGCGAAAACTATCACCATAAGGAAGGAAAGCCATGGAGTCCTTCCAGCCAACAAGTTCGCCAGCCATGGGAACAACAGGACGGTCAGAATACAAAGTGCTTTTACTGTCCATCATCTCCAATGCAGTCTTGGAAGAGTTTAACACAAACATGTGCCGACCCAGAACCTCGATATGCGTGATATCACCTATAGATGAGACTTTCGAAAATGCATGATTTTGGAAAAAAGGAAGGCATTCACCATACTTCTGACCCCACTCAGTAAATGTGAGCCAGGGCTTGATGCGAGGCATATCTAAAATATTGTCAATGAGAGGCCATCCCCGGGGACCAGGTGGATATGGTGCAGGATTCTTCTTGATGTTCACCTGCTTTACCAGATAGATTCCGACACCAGTAAGACATAGTAGGTCCAACCAAGTAACATTGGGGATTGTCAACATGGTCTACTAATAGCAGATGACGAGCAACTCAAGAACTGGGATGAAGAGCGAATTGATCAGATAAGTGGATATTTTGTATTTAAGATATTGGAAGGACACGTAGCACGAGAATTCTGTCGGAAACTAGGGGTTCACTGTGCGAACTTATGACCTGGCGGCCAAGACGTACCTGCTCGGGAAAAAGTGTACATGAG